GTATTATTCTCATTAAAAATAATCTATAAACATTCATAGAGTAGAACTCCCGGTTACGGGGATTTCATGATGGAATTGAAGCACCTGCAGGTAAAGACAAGGGAGGAGAGCCTAATTTATTATTAGAATGAGGTTCAAATTGGTCACTGAACGTAATCTGAAAATGTAATTAGGTCACTGAACAAAAAAAAATGCAACTAAGTCACTGAATACTCTAAATGTATGCAATTTCATCTGATAGCAGGTTACCTGCTTACGTGGCAGTTAAGTTGACATTTTTAATAAATTTTAATAATAAATTTTTTAAAAAAATAACGGCCACCCTCTCCCCCTCTTCCTTCGTCTCCGCCGGAAGAAGGGAGGGAAGGGGTAGCCGGCGGCCACCCCGTCATTTTATTTAATTTTTTTTTATTTTTTAAAAATTTATTATTAAAATTTATTAAAAATTATTAAAAATGTCAACTCAGTTACCACGTAAGCAGGTAACGTGTTAAAATTGATGGTAACTTATTAAAATTGATGGTAACCTGCTATCCGGTGAAATTGCATACATTTGGAGTGTTCAGTGACCTAATTGCACATTTTTTTGAGTGTTTAATGACCTAATTGCACTTTATTTTTTTCGCTCAATGACCTAATTGCATTTTCATGTTAAATTCAATTGCCAATTTGAACCTTATTCATTTATTATTTTATGATTTCTAGTACGACATACTATTATATTTACGTACTAGGCCTTTGGTTGAAAGAATTACAATTCCATTATTTTTTTCCTACTTTCAGAAAATGAGAAATAGCACAATTTGATTAAAGAGAATTAAAATTTACGCTGCCACGCAGTGGGGCACAAAGCGAATTATTCTTTTACCTTTTACTAAAGAATACTATGTGCACGTTGCAAATAGTGGCCTAGAAAAAAAAAAAAAAAAAAAAAAAAAAAAAAAAAAAAAAGAGAGAGATTTAAAAAAAAAAAAAAAGAATTAAAAGTTGATGAAATTTGAATTCTCAATTTGTGAAATTGAAATGCCAAACCTTCTCTTAGAACTTTTACAAGGCGTTTAGTTGGAAGGAGGGACCAGAATTGCAATTCACAAAAGGAGAGAATTATAATTTCGTGAATTTGTAATTCCCTCTAATCAAATAATGGAGTTGTGCATATCAAAGAATTAAGTTGTAGTTGAATTACAATTACATCCTACTAAACAAGTTGTTAATTCCATGAATGGTGAGAGAAAAGTAGAGTGATCTGTGGTGCAATTATGAGTGATTAGTGATGCACATATAAGTGTCATCATGTGCTACACTTAGAAGTGGATGCACCACCAAACATATATAAACACATCAGGCCACAAGACCATACTGGAAGGGTTGGTCGCATATGAACCAAACCCTATATGTGGGTGTGTAGCGAAATAAACAAATCAAATTAAGTATATATTACTATATTTTAATTCTTATCGCCCAGAAAAAAAAAAAAAAAAGAGTTGAAAAAGGAATAGAAAAAAAAAAATGACATGAGTTTCATTAATTTTGTGTACACTAATTTAGTTGTTATCTACAAATCTACATCTACAAATCTAATAAGAGCCAATAATGTTAGGTCCTTAATTGGAACAAAAAAATATCGGTAGTAGTTGTTTCTTAAAATAAATGGTTCATATTATTTTGATTTTAGTATTTTTTTTAATGATTTTCCTTATTTACCCTCTATTATATTATTTTTTCCCCTTAAATAACCCTAAATTCCGTTAGTATAAACTTTAGTAACGAAATATTCCATTAACTATTTATTATTCTTAAAATACTCATTAATTTATATAAGAAAGGTCTTAGGTTCGAACCCCAACTCAATTATGTATTAAAAATATAATATAAAATTTAACATAAACTTTAGTCAAATAATTAGTCTGACTAAATACATAGCATTCAAAGTTGAGCATCAAAGATTATAAATCCGAAACTTTAAAAATCATTTGATTTTTTTGATTTAAAAAAAAAAACAAATTTAAGTTTTTTTTTTTTACGTTTAATTAATATTCTTTTGATTATTTAGAACAAAACTTAATATTTCAATTATGCTTTTGCATTATTGGAATGATTTAGGTCATTATTGTATTAATATTTTTTGTATTTTTTTTTTATAATGGTACAATTGTATATTACTTTACAAATATTATACTATTACTTATTTTATTGGACAAAATTGTTCTTATATCATTGTCAGACTTGCACGGCCTAACTAGAAAGTTGTTGATCATAAATACAATTGCACATGAACTTTAAATCGGTAGGAGCATTTTCCAAATAATTGACAATATTAACATCCTACTAGCTCCAATTGAACAAGAATTTTATCAATGCATGAAAACTTCTAAAGAAATTTGTAAGTTAATTTTTACTTCCAATTAATTTCATTATTGTTGATGAAAAGTATGTACGCCACTTTATTACTCTTATTAAATTAAATAAATTAGTAGCTACAACAAAAAAATAATGCATATGCATTTAATTAATTTAGAATTAGATGTCTATAATGCTTTATTTAAAAAACAAATATTCATTATAAAAAAATTTAAAAGAAATATAATTTCATTAGTTATATTATCTTTAATTTATTTTCTACAATTCGAAGATTCCTTACCTTCAAATTTATTAACTTATTATATTCCCTACATTGTCCATTGTCTTCTTTTTACATTAGCTTGTAATTAAATATCAAAGTTATAATACAAAACATATTATATATATTTATTTACCAAGTATTTTATATATACAAATATAATAAATATTAATATTTTGTTCAGTACTTTCACATGATAACCTACAACACACATCTCATAACACATTAAACATGTAGAGGAAAAATTAACACTACTAAATATCAATAGGTGTTTGTAAGATAAATAGTTCATATTACAACTAAAATCTCAGTCATATACACAACAAGGCAAATCTAAAGCTTCCTACACCATAATTTCATTGCATGATGAATCCCTCTACGCTGCCACTAGTAACCAATAAAAAAATAAAATAAGAGAGCATATGTATTGAAGATGAAAACAATGACAGAGAATTAAAAAGAATTAGAGAAATTTAAATCAAAAGTAGTATTTATTTATACTATCGCTTTAAGACTACGTATTTAGACTAGCGTTATTAAGAAGTTGCAAACATTTATTTTAGTGACAATTATAATCAATCTCTCACATATTATATTGAATTATATACTTTAAATTATCGATTTAAATAAACAAATTCAACATTTATTTACCTATGCATAAACTCTCCTATATAATATTGCATTGATATATTTGAAATACTTATTTAAAAATAATCATTGGGCATTATCCCATTCGTGCAAAACGCGTAAAAAAAACTAGTAATAATAATATAAAAATAAAATGTCTATCATCATTGTTGTTATTAAAATGTTAAAAAAATATTTTGCAATGAGTAAGTTAAAAATAATAAATAGTTAATGGAATATTATGGAGTGAATTCCATTTTTGGTCCTATTGTTATAGGAGTTTTTCCAGTTTTAGTCTACCATAATTATTTTTGTCACATTGCGTCCACTATTATTAAAAGTGTTCCAATTTTAGTCCACTTTAAGATTTTTCGTGGACTAAAATTGGAACACTTTTAATAATAATGGACACAATGTGAAAAAAATAATTATGGTGGACTAAAATTGGAATGACCCCTATAACTAACAGTAGGACCAGAAATGGAATTCACTCAATATTATGTAATTAAAGTTTGTACATTAAAAAATAAAAAATAAAAAAAGTAAAAGAGGTTAGTTTTGAAAATGTTTTATCATTGACGATGAATAAATCAAAATATACAAGTTATCAATTCACATTATTACACCAACATATTATTACATCCGTACAAATGATGATGATAATGATGGCATAAGACCGCATTTGCCCTACAAAACAAATGCATAAAGAAGTTAACTCAATTGCACTATTGCTACTAGTTAGAAAAAATGTATTATTCGATCGATTAACTTTTTCAAAATATTTTTATAATTACCAGCGTCGACAAAAACACCTCAGCTCTCAAAATAACAATTATATATTCAAATTCAACATCATTTTGTATAAAAGTTGAAATGGAAATATTAAATTGAATTGCTAATACAATATAATTTACAAGCAAAGTAAATACATCATGAAACATTTCAAGAACAATAGATAAATAATGAGCAAATACCAATTTTGGTCCCACGAGTATTAGCAAAATGACAGTTTTAGTCCACATGTTTAATTCCTACCAATTTTCATCCACGACTATTACTTTAGTACCAATTTTCATCCACGACTATTGTTTTAGTGCCAAAATTCATCACGCCAATCACACATTTGTTTAAAACATGTCGAAATATGAAATTATTAAGGGTATTTTCGTCTTTTTAAATTAAGATCCCAATTTGAGCATGAATAAAAAGATTTAAGCCCTAAGATCTATCGTGATTCGCAGTTTTTCTCCTCAAATTAAAGTAGGATGAGGAGGGGAACTGCCAATTGGGGTTGATCTTAGGGCTTGCATCCCTTTATTCATGCTCAAATTAGAGCCTTAAGTTGAAAAAGACGAAAATACCCTTAAAATTTTTAGATTTCGACATGTCTTGGATGGAGGGGTGACATGCGTGATGAATTTTGGTACTAAAATAATAGTCGTGGATGAAAATTGGTACTAAAACAATAGTCGTGGGATGAAAATTGGTAGAAATTAAACATGTGGACCAAAACCGTCATTTTACTAATACTCATGGGACCAAAATTGGTATTTGCTCATAAATAATACATACCCCCACAAAATGGTTAAAATTAAACTAAAATTTCACGAGTTGTACGTATACCCATGATTATTAAATAATAAAAGGATAACAGATATACCTAAAATTAAAGGAAGAAAACGACGAATTGTTATGTATTAATCCTGCTTCAATTCATAATGTGCAATGGTGATGAGCAGTGTGGTGGTGATGAGAAGTGTGATTTCTTCTTCTTGAGTCGACGATCTCTTGGAGAATTACTATAAGAGCAACGATGAAAGCTTGATCCACGTTTGGGTGCAGCGTCACCGTGAAATTATCCTTTCCCAGGAATAAACTCCCCGCCGTCACTTTCTTCTGCATCTGAGCAATTAAGGTAGAAGATGGTTTAACGTAGATATCGCACGTCGACTCCGAGTAGCTTGTCTTCATCTTATAATCGCAGACTTGTTCCGATGTGTTGCCGGCTAAGAACACGTCTAGGTTTGTGGTGAACTGGAACGCCGAAGATTTTCTTGCGCTGAAGATCAGGTCTTTCTCCTTTTTGCTTTCTCCCCTGTAAACTTCCCATCTGGTTCGCAATGTAAATGCCTGCATACATAAATTAGATTTGGGAATTATTCTTATGTTTTTTCTCTACCTTAATCTCTGAATTTAATGCCAGGACAATCTCAACTAAGTACACTTGATTTGTAACTACAATGTTACTAATTTGACTTACAATAAAGTTAGTAATCTAGACTGATTTACATTATTTCCCGTCCTCTAATTTGACTATTTGACTCACAATATGAGTAGTAATTTAGACTGATTTACCTTATTTCTCGTCCTCTAACTTGTCTATTAGAGTTAGGGCCGGATTTTAGGCTGTGCAAGCTGGGCTACCGCACAAGGCCTCCAATTTTAGAGGGGCCCCAAATTTTAGAGGTCCAATATTTAATTTTTATAGTTTAGAAATAAAAATTAAAAGTTTTTAATTAACTTTAAAAGGTTTCATAAAGAGATGGTAAGAATATGTATTTATTGTATTTTTACTTGGAGGTATTTTAAAATTTGTGATTTTAGTAGGGCCACATTTATTTACCAGAACAGGCCACACAAACTTAAAATACGGCCCTGATTAGAGTCATAGATGGAGTTTATTGTGCACACCCTCAAATAATAGATGCAGGATTTTTTAAGTCACCTTAAAAAATCAATGTATAATAATGTTATGAATCTTTTATATATATATATATATATACCTTTCGTCGGATAGTGAGGATGGAGTTTCCGGCGGGATCAAAGACGACGACCTTGGTGTCGAAGAAAGTAGGGATGTTTTCGACTTTGAAGAGGATTGTGCCATTGGCAGCATCTTTGACTTCATATCCGTGGGTAGCCAAAAAGTAAACCTTTTTCTTGATTGAGATTTGAAGATGGTGAGGGGCACAGTATTCCGGGCTGATCACAACCAGAGGATTACCAAACACCGTTTCCGCCATGCTCAGATCAGCTCGCTGCTAACTGATCTGATCACTAGATAATCAAACACTACACGTACTGCTAGCTACCTATTTCAGATCAATTCCAATAATATCTCAGATTCTTGATTTAGTTTTCTACTAATAGATGATACCTTTATGCATGTTGATCTTCGTCTATATATATATAAGCAGGTAGAAGAATTTACGTGAAAGCAACAATGGTGGTGTAAAGAATTTTAAAAGCACTAACCAATTAAGTCAAGTCAAATAATCATCAATGAAGGGAAATTGAAAGGAAACATCATCTTTGTGTTACGTACTCAAAAAGTATTGACTTTTTATCAAAGCAAGTTTGATGTCAACGCAGAGTGATTCACCTTTACATGTGTTATGTCTCATTAACATTGACCAACCTTGTATTGAAAAGGTCCGGGTTTGAATTTCCTCTTGTATTGAAAAAATCAATTTGACCAGCACTTTAGAGGTGCTTCTAATTACGGTTAGAGATCTCGTAGTCTGATAATAAAAATAAAAATAAAAAAAACATTGACCAACCTTTTTCCCAGCTAATTTAGACTAACCCATGCATCATTATTATTTTAATAATTAAGATCAATAATTACAATGATTTGTAAATTAGTATACTTTTTTTTCTTTAAAAAAGAAGAAGAGAAATTGGTTAATATTAACCTTATTTTTAATGAGGTAATATCATGATAGTGTGATACGCTATTGATGATATATAGCAGGCACATATATACATACACACACAATGTATCAAATATATATATTTTCAAAATTTACGAATGTTTTTATTGAAAATTTTAGAATAATATCGTTTCAATGTGTGTATATATATATATATATATATATATATATATATATATATATATATATATATATATATACAAATTTGACAATAATTTTAATCTGTGTTTTCATCAAATTTTTAATCAATTGTCTTAGGTGGTATACTGCCATTTACGTATGAAGTAAAACTTTTAAAATTCCAAATAGCACCAAGTAGAACGTTGACTCGATCTCTTCTTTATTATTATTAGGAATAAGGTTACAATTAGATCACTGAACAAAAAAAAAATGCAATTAGGTCATTAAATATTTTAAATGTATGTAATTTCACTTGATAGCAGATTATCACCAATTTTAGTAAGTTACTTGCTTACGTGGCAGCTGAGTTTGCAATTTTAATAATTTTTAAATAATTTTTTTAAAAATTTTTTAAAAAACGATGGCGTGGTCAATTTAAAAAAAAAAAAAAAAACGACGGGGTGGCTGGCGGCCAACCCGTCGTTTTATTATTATTATTATTATTTATTTTAAAATTTTTAAAATTTATTATTAAAAATTATTTTAAAATTATTAAAAATCTCAACTCAGCTGCCACGTAAGTAGGTAAATTGCTAAAATTGATATTATCCTGTTATATATTTCTTTATAAGTAATGTTGAAAAGTCTTTGTTATTTATAAAGGAAAATATACTCCGTAATATTTTTAAGGAAAATGTAACACTCCGTACTTTTAAATCAAAATGTAAAAATATTACATTTTTCTTCAAAAGTATTACAATTTTTCATATAAGTAATAAACATTGTATTATTTATTAGTATTACATTTTTCGATATAAGTATTACATTTGATCTTGATCCAATCCGTTTCATAGATCATCACACAAGTTTTTGCATTATTATACAGAGTAATATAGTCACGGGCAAATAATGTTGTGGAACCGTGTTCACCTTGCAAGGTGGACACGATTTCAAAACTGTCATAATTGTGAATATAGAGTTAAAAAATTATGAACATAGAATTATATAGTTATGAACATAGAGTTCTATAATTGTGAATATAGAATTCAATAATTGTGAATATGAAGTTAAAAAATTATGAACATAGAGTTCAGTATGAATATAGAGTTTTTTTTATTGTGAATATGAAGTTCAATAATTGTGAATATGAAGTTAAAAAATTATGAGCATAAAATTTTATAATTACGAACATAGAGTTCAGTAATTATGAACATAGAACCGTGTTCACCACATTTCCACGGCATAACAATTGTATATTCACGAGCTTGGGCTAAATTATCACGGCCCAAAATCTTCCGTAAATTCTACTTGCGGCCCGCACAAAACACGGTCGGGAATTCAGAACTCTGCGACAATTCGACAAACCAGAAGAGTTGGGAGATCGTGGAGTACTGTACTATGATCCTACGATTCTCTCCGCTCAAACCTTTTAGATTCTCTGGAAGATGTTAAGGAGCTGCAGGCTACCAATCTGGCAGCTGAGAACAAATCTTTCGTCCTTTTCATTTTCGTCTTCTTCAAAACCCAAATTGAAAAACTACTACTTGAGAAAAAGAAGAAAATGGCCGATATCGCCGTACAAAACCAAGTGGCACGAGAGCTTCGGCCATCAGCTAGCTATGCAGAGCATGATAGAAAGGGTTTCAACGTCGAATCCTTTATCGGCCCTCATCGATTCATTCGCGGATTACCAATGCGACCCCACTCCAAGTGCTTACCAATTCGTAATCAAGGAAATTACCAGAGACCCTTGTACCTATGATTTGATCCATAAAGTTCTTGATCATTTGCAGAAAGTTGACAACTTTGAGATACCCGAGGGTGTTTTTGTTTATCTCATCAAGTTTTATGGTGATATTGGTGAATTGCAATGTGCGGTTGAGCTGTTCTTGGGGATTCCGAGGTTTAGATGTGCCCCAACTATGAAGTCTTTGAATGCTCTGCTCTCTGTTCTTTGTAAGAGTGAATGGGGTCTTAGGAATGTGCCTGAAATATTGAATAAGAGTCAGTTGATGAATATCCAGATAGATGGATCGACTTTTGGGTTGTTGATTAGGGCTCTTTGTAAGATTGGGAAGGTTAATTATGCGGTTGAGATGTTGAATTGCATGGTGGATTCTGGGTTTGATTTAGATGGGAAGGTCTGTTCTTTGATATCATCAACAATGTGTGAGCAAAAGGGTAGTGATGAGTTTGACATTGTGGGTTTCTTGGAAGAAACAAGGAAGTTAGGGTTTAGCCCAAGAAGATTGGATTTTTACAATGTGATGAGGTTTCTGGTGATGAAGGGAAAAGGAAAAGAAGCTGCAAAGGTCTTGAAGAAGATGCGAATGGATGGGATTCCGCCTGATATCGAATGCTATGATTTGGTTTTGGAAGGGGTGGTCTTGGAAGGCGAGTTTGAGAAGGCAGATAAGGTGTTTGATGAATTGCTTGTGTTGGGTTTGGTTCCAACGGTTTTTACTTACAATAGCTATATAAATGGGTTGTGCAAGCAGAATAAGGTAGACGAGGCAATAAAGATGCTCGCTTCCATGGAAGAGCTGGGATGCAGGCCAGATTTAATCACTTACAATACGGTCTTGGAGGCCTTGTGTGGGAACGGGATGTTATCTGCAGCGAGGGAGGTCGTTGGACAAATGAAACTCAAGGGCGTGCAAATGAATTGCCAGACTTACGAGTTTCAAATCAACAATTTCATTAGAAATGGTGAAATCGATGAAGCTTGTCAGTTGTTACATGATATGTTGAACAACGGTTTTGTTCCTCAATCTACCACTTTCGAGGGGCTATTACGTGATCTTTGCCATACAAGTTTACAATGCAGCAGTTTGTCAGATTTGGTTTATGTGAATTCATGAACCAACAACCCCTCGATTAGTAATCAGATGGTCCAAACCTAAAGAGGTCGAATTAACAGGTGAAACCTTGTCTGCCTCGGTTTAGTCAATGCGTGCTTCTCTCTTTTAAATTGTTCTTGACTTCTTGCACTTGCATAACTATACAATCAACTATGTTTTCAAGCCCAGAAATTGCGGTACCTGTGCCCGAATGGTTTAAAACTACTGGGCCAATCAACATCAACATACCAGGAAGACAGACAGGAACCATGAGTTTGCCTTCTCAACCTCCACGCGTGAAGTTTTATGAGCTGTGTCTCGTCCTAGGCCTAGCATTTGTCGCGAGTCTAATTATTCAGCCAACCATTTTATTCGACAATTGATGTACTAACTACCAATTTTAAGTAGAGTGGCTGGCTAATCACAGGTTTAATTATCATGTTCTCTTGATTTGATGTGACAGAACATAGGCCATAGTACAGAGAGTCAGAAGATACATCCAAAAGCGCAAGAAATTCAGGTAAAATCGAGCCCTTGAGGCCTTGATTCTTGAATGCTTTCTTGGCCAGATTTGCAGAGATTGAACAATGATGACGGATTGATGTTTCCAGGGAATATTTTTGGTTTTCTTATCATTCATAAGCTTCCAAGACATGAAATTCTCATTTCTCAGAAGATGAGAGGTTCATTGCTTCAAGCATTTATTCTCAAGTCTCAACTAGCTATAGCTAAGGAATGTGACATATTTGTACATTTTAGCCATAGGGTCAACTAATCTTTCATATCACTTTCTTCTCATATTGACCTCTGAGAACAACATTTAGGATGTCATTAGCATGGGTTCCTACTAATTTATGAACTGTATCCCCAAGTATTTTTTTCGAGTACTATTGACTCTATTACAAAGTAGTATCTATTCTATACTTTCTCTGTCTGTTGTAGTTCCTTTAAGTATAAGTATTTCCTTTCTTGAAATACAATAGTCAATAGTGCTGACCTTATGGCATTGCAAAAACCCCTCATATCTCAAATGGTTCTCTATGAATTTGTACAAGCCATAGGTGATAAGAGTGCAAGTCCTATCAAAAACACTTCTTACATGAGATGTTTTAATTATATTATCTCTAAGCAATTCAATTATATTGTTTTTAACGTTTATCGTAATTAAAGATAGTTATCAATAATTGTGTATTTTAGTATATTCACTTTTATTTACAGAAAAGCTCATAGCACTTACCTAAAGGTGTGCTATGGATAAAAATGACTTTGTGATCTTAGCCAGTAAAGAACCGCAAGAAAATGTGTATTCACTTATTTGTTATACACTTGTACTAATGGTATCAAACAAGTAGATAAAACACAATAAACAATTCATTAATCAGAGTTTTCTCCCATAACTATTGTCAAGACTTGCACAAATGTGAGGCCATTACAGTTCTAACACTCCCATATAACCAATTAACAAGAATTTCTTTTCTGACCAAAAGAAAAAAAAAAATTCCAATAACAAAAGCAAACACCATCCAAGGCAGTCGAACAGTTGACTTGGTAATCACAAGGTTCTAAGTTCAAACCTAGGTTGCTTTATCTCTTTGTGGTCCTTTGCTGGCTAAGGTCACAAGGCAGACTTTCTTTAGAGCATACATTTGGATAATGGTTGCGGGGCTTTCCCGAAAGTCCAAGCAAACAACATTCATGGTGTGACTTCACAGTTTCTCATCACAAGCAATATGCAGAAGCCAACAATAATTGATGCTCCCAAGTTCAAAGTCAGGTGAAATAGCTATCCATCCCTACGAGGCAAAAACAATTCAGGGTAAAAACAAAAGCAGCAAAGGAAAAAGATTGTGGCAAAAAGGAAAAGTAGACAAAATAATATTCCCACATGGAATCAATGCCAAGACAATGAAACTCTACTGTGATGTGCCTTGCCAATTGCACTTTTTACAGCAACAACCCAGATCCATGCACCTGACTAGGGCCTCACCACTCGAGCCAAGAGCCATGATCCATAGCGGGGAAGAAACTACAAAGATCCGATAAAACAAAAAGCACTGCACAGCTTCCTCGTTAGTAATAGAGATCATGAGTTCTCTGTCAATATTGCATTGTTCAAGTCATTATCTTTAAGGCTTTATCTTGTCTTCTTGAAAAGTAAATGAAGAACGAAAAAATGGATGTTCTTAATGATCTGAAGCAAATATCAGTTATTACATGTTATGTGCTATAACATATTGTATTTTACACTGGGTGGACAATGATACCATCAAGCACATTGAATAAACCAGAAGCTCCAGTGTATATTTGTTTTCCTGGATTTTTATCAAACAACGCTTGTTGTTTGTAGCCTATCTGGCCTCCACCAACTAGTTGAGGAGCCTTTATTGCATATTGGGATAACATTTATCCAACCAACAAAAATGACAGATCATCTCTTTGGCTTTCCTATCTATTCATTTTATCTTTTCAGTCCCATAACTATGGCTGGTTTGTTCAGTATCCCCACACAGTCTTAATACATACTTAAAAGCTCAGAATGAATTATCAAACAATATCTTTCACGAAAACATAACTAATAGATGATTACAAAAATCATAAATATCAGCATATATGCAGCATCTCAAATGTATAATCTGCTTTATCTGTATGGATTACATAGTAAAACCCATTCTTTAAAAAAATAAAAATAAAAATAAAAATAAAATCAGGAAGAGATGTTATGTGCAGCAGGTCTAGTTGAAGGTCTGAAGCAAATATCAGCGACGAGATGGAGACAGTATACTTTGAATCTTGGGGAATAGGCAACAAATTACATTGTTGGGAATCATGTGGAGTAATTATGACTATAACTACCACATAGCTTTCAACCATGGCATTTTCAACAGTTTGATTACAATTTTAGACCACTTGCTAAATGTTTATCTTTTCTTTGACATTATGTCCATCGTGGATTTTTCTTGATCGTTATCCTCAAAAGCATCAAAACAAAAAAAGACTTAAAGCTCTCAGAAAGGAGAAACAGGAGAAAGTTCATTTCAAGTCTTTTTTTTGTTTTCCTATCATTTAGATACTTAACTTACCTGTCACAAGGAGATGCTGGCACATATTACTGGAAATTAGCAGGAAGAGGGAGCCTGAGGCTGCAATTCACAGTAATAATAAGGTCAAGTGGTCATGATGGGGAAGAGGGGCACATGAAATACAAACTCATGGAGCCAAATTCATGAAGCTAGAACTTATGCGGCTAGGCAAAAGCCATTAACATGCATGAGTTAGTAATGCACGTGCCCTGCTTCTCCATCTTGCTCAACACTCGCCTTCTTTCTAAGATCTATATGTGTGTGCGGCTCATTATTGGGAGAACTAGGGAAAGACATTTGTGTGCCAGGGCTGTGAGCCTGTGAAGAAGGGAAGAGATGGAAAATTGGAAAGTTTCGGAGTAAGAGTCTGTGTCATGGAATATTTTGCGAATCACATGTGGTACACTCTCACTTAATTAGCCCACATTTATAGCCAAAGGGGGGGCAGCATGTAGGCCTCATGTTCAAAGGCCTGAGTGTGTGATTTGTAGCCTTGTAGGTAAGAAGATTAGTAGCAAGTGGGCCCCCCCTACAAAATGGCAAACCCAGAAAGTGGTGTGAATGATCAAGGACCACTCTGGGATTACACTGTGTGATCATAAGTTGCAATTTCTAACCTTTCATTATTTGGTAGTCCATGTTGATATCACCTGAACTGTTTTGAGTATTCTACTAGAAATGTCTGTTGGCCTATTTTTACACAGTCATACTTGGCTACAATTTCTGGGATCATAAATCTTTTCATATTGAGTTCAGAAAGGGAGATCCTAATAGATTCATGAAATGGGAGAGATCCCCATATTATTTTAATAGATTCATGGAGATTCTAATAGGTTCTGTCGGGCTGGGGTGTGGGGCCCTAGGGGCGAGAAAATTTCGCCTTTTGTGAGCAAGAAAGATGAAAAAGAAAAAGGACACAAGTGGTTATGGAATGATAATATATGGCTTGGGATTATCCTCCATGACAGGTTCCATTTCTAATTGGATAATTTGAGGAGAAAAAGACTCAAAAAAAAAAAAAAAAACTGTTACTTAGGATCAAGACTAGTCCTGTAATATGATAAATGAGCATTTGTTGCTTGCCACTAAGCATGCTCATTAATATTGTCACATTCAACAACGTTGCATCCTAGGTTGAGCAAGAGGATATTGTAATAATCATTGCAAGAAGTGTATAATAGGCCGACAAATACCTTCCATGAGAATACGAATAAAAAAAATAGTGATGATATTACCTAAAAGCACATTATATGGACAACAGAAAAAGAATTTTTGAGAAAATAGCAACCTTACACTCCATTTATGGTGAAATAGGAGTATCGTAATCATGGAAATAGTAATAACAGCATCAGAAGGAACCAATTTCAAAGCGAAATGATCTCTCCAATGAAATATTTCAGCTCTTTACAAAATGATAGTGTATTATATTAGATATGGTAAGAATCCATTCTAAAGACGAAAAATTCATTCTCTAATAAGACACCCTTCAGCTACTCGTAATCCTTATCTACTCAGCCTATAATACAGAAACCTCTATAAGTTAAACCTTATGTATAACTTCATAGCTTTCATATTATAGCATATAGCAATTGTATTCATAAATTTCCTTGAAATTCTAACAATTACTTCGGTACCTACAACTTTAATTCAGAGTGTCCACCAAATAAGCGGGTAGATCATTGCATAAGCCATCCTACCTTGAGGAGAGAAAGAGAGGCAATTAGGCATTATTTACTGATTAGACATTCCACATTCTCCAGGAAGGATTATGAAAATCTTGAACAGCACATAAGAAAGCAACCATTACTATTTTCTTATTCATAGCTTTTCTTTGGTCCGGGCAAGACAAAGATAGAGGTTAAAGGAGGATGGTGGATATAAACAGAAGCTCCTTTTTGTGCTTACTAGGCCCTCCTATTATTTGTCTTAATACATCTCTTAACACTTCATCAATATTGATATATATATATATATATATATATATATATATATATATATATATATATATATATATATAAATAATCATTGAATCCTGTTATAATCTATGGTTGGGCCAAACCATACCAATACCACAAGCAGATAGGTCAAGCAACTGGGCTATAATGCACATGGGCCAAACCACACTGAAAGACCGAATCCAATCAATTAGCTAGTCTAATCAACGGCCTTATAAACTCATATGTTTCTCTCTTATTTTTCAATGTGGAACTCTTAACAAATCCTAACCCCACACTTAACATGCTCTAGAGAATATTATAAACATACATGAATGTGTGCGTGTATTATACGTTTTATGTTCACACTAATTAGATCCCCCATCAAGGCACTAAATCCTAATTGTATGGCAGCTAGCTAGAATGCCTACGATATCTGGCAGTATTCAATTATCATGGTGCCTGAAGCAGACTTTATTGTTTTGAGCGTTTGAGCCCACAGTTATAGAAACCTGGAGATAGATTTCTAAAATGTCAGTACAATAAAAAATCTACTATCTTTTCCTTCTCCTTTATGCTTAAATAACATATTAATAGCAAATTATTGACCTGGCGTTCCACTGATAGAGAAATAAGTCATATACAATATTGTAAACAATGATATTATAATGATCTAGGATGGCAAATCCTGAGAATGTCCCTGCACTAGTATAACAAAATTAATTCAGAGATGTCGTTTTCAAAACTATACTTGACATCAGAAAATCTTTAAGAAATGATTGTCATTAAGAGAAAAAAAAAATAGTTAGTGTTAGTGGTTAATGAGGTGGTAGCCCCCACGGATTAACAAAAAGCAGGGGACAAACACAGGAGTAGGTAAAAGCCATTGGAGATTTTGCATAATGGCATATCGCTAATAATCATCACGACTAATAAGTGACAGCAAATAATAGTGGGATCATGTTAATTGATGGGATGTAACTACAAGGTAGGACCTTCTCCCTCAAGATTTCATGTACTGATTGATTGTAGTATCGATTAATTTTTCTAATGTTGACCTGCAGCTTAAACTATGTCCTATTATTTTATGACTCATTTTCCTCCACTTTAACAACATCTTCCATTCTTCCGCTATAGCTTTGAGGAAATTTTAGGGCTTAAATAGTTAAAGTTTCTGGGGAAGCAAGACTCTACCTAACTCATCTGTCTTGAAGGAAATATATTATACATAATCTGTAGCTAGCTCTTTTTGAGCAATTTCAGGCTGGATAAAATAAAGCCTTATAGTGGAAAACACCTTTCATGTTATCTGCCATTATGTGAAAAGTATGCCCACGTCACAGTGGTGCAATGTTTATCTCATCAACTCTACTGCTTTTTCACTCTCTCAAAATTCCCATCTCGATAAAAGAGCACTAGGATTAGGCAAACCTAGCAGAAGCAATTCGTGTCAAGTTACCTCCATGATCGTTAATGTTGTCTAATCAAGAAACGGATATTATACTTTTATTTGGATTCTGTCTAATATTCAAAATCAAGAGATTAAACAAGGAATGGAACCATCATTATGACTATATTTAAAAGACTCACATACCGTGAACATAACAATCATCTTGACGGCCACCAGCTACTTTGTTTGCACCATCTTGCTTGCATCTTTGACTTTGCAAAGGAAATCATTATCCGTTGGTTATTAATGAATTACAGTCGGTGAGTTTAGTCTCAGTGTCATAATGTTACAGGCAAACACTCATTATCTGCACAACAAAGAAGTCACCAAGCAAAGAAGTCAAATGATATTTTAGTCCTAATAAAGTTTCGTCAACTACAAATATTATATTCAGTGGAAAAGATGCACGATTAAAAGGAGCAGACATTTTACTCATCAGTCATTACTCTTAGTTAATGATGACTAAGCCATAAAAATTCTTTCTCCACACCAGCCGGGTCATATATTCTTCTGGTACATGAGGCAGTGGAAAACAAAAGATGGTTTTTTTAAAAATCTAATAAAAAAGTAAGCAACAATAACCAAATTAGCAATAATCAGAAGCCTACTGAGGCTCTGAGAGTTCAAAGACCCTAGCAGATAGTATGAACCAGAAAATTGTTAACTATCTATCCAACGCAACAACGTTGGCTCAAATAAGGAATTGGTGACATTCTTGGAGTATAAGCTGCCAGCCTGACAGAATTAAATCTGTCATCTTCCTTTCTGATCCCAAAATTGATTTATGACAAAAACTTCCCCGGTTATACAACTTGAAAGGGATGGTAATTAAGGCTGGTAGATACTTTTTCACAAGGTTATGCTTGTTGACCAAGGAGGGGGGTCGGGTGGGGTGAAGCAATGATAAAATACAAAGCAAAAGGAAATATGAAACTCTGTGTTGGTCAAAAGTAGCTTTGCATTATTTCTTCACTACAGTTCGGATTACCTGTAGAATCATTAAAACTGGGGCAAGCTGCCACACTCTGTTTTTAATTTGTTTTAGACTTTAGTCCTTGGAGGAAGAGAGGGTTGTTTGAACAGAGGAACAACAATGTGAACATCCTCAAAATGGCCCTATTTACATTAACTTATCAAGTTGTCTCCATCACATGAAAATAACTGTGCTTAGGCTCTTTTTTGCATCAGAATTAGTTTAAAACTAGGATAAATTAACCACTGCTACATATCAATATGTTTGAACATAGAAACGGTTTTATTACAGTCCAGCATATAATCAAATCTTATCAGGGATATATTCTGATAGAACAATAACCAATCTTTGACCAAAGCTGAAATGACCGAAAACATCCATATTAAGGATTCATACAGTAAGATTAGACACCTAGCAGTATCAAAGGCCTAGCTACATTAAGACTAATGGCATGATTTGCCGCATTATGATTGATAGAGATATCTAGTATGAAATAATATACCATTACATTAAAAATAAATAAATAAATAAACAAACAGCAATTTTTGGACTAAATGTTTTCCACCATATCTTGTGAGTGTCATTGTCCTTTGCATTCATTGGTTACCTGTAAATTAGTTAGATAGCCCCCCACTAAAACCTTATAAAAAAAAATTACATTGAATTATGTAAGATTAAGTGCAAATTATAACACCATTAGATAAATAGGTACATGTTTTGCAAAAATATAATGAGGAAGGAATTACTCAAACCTTTTTCTATACTCTAAAAAGAGATCCATGTATTCAATAGTGTCAAACTATTCTATGATCATATGAGAGAAATTTTCTCAAAACTTCATTCACAACTTTGAACTCAAAATCTGATATTTAGAAAACCTCTCTCTCCTTAAAGTAAAACTCATTTCACTTAAATCTTGACCAAGCACACACAACAGTATCATTCTTATATATATATATATATATATATATATATATATATATATATATATATATATATATATATATATATATATATATATATATATATATACACACACATTAGGCATCCCAACTTAGACTAATCTTAAGCTGGAGGAGTTAAATCGCGAGTCACCAGTCTATCACATGAAATCTTCATCTCCTTTAATCGGTCAAGATCTGCCTATGACTCCCTAGGTTGTCACTATCGCTAGGTCAAGACTTATATATATATATACACACATTAGGCATCCCAACTTAGACTAATCTTAAGCTGGAGGAGTTAAATCGCGAGTCACCAGTCTATCACATGAAATCTTCATCTCCTTTAATCGGTCAAGATCTGCCTATGACTCCCTAGGTTGTCACTATCGCTAGGTCAAGACTTTGAAGTGATTGATCAAAACAAGTGAGCATA